AGTACAAGTTGTTACAGGAGAGAATAGCATAGTACAGGTGATAAAACACCAGATGAACCTTATATTAGGCATGGTAGTAATTCCCAGGAGTGGATATCCCAAAACTATGGGAGTCTAAAGACAGCAATGTCTAAAGACAGAATCTGCATATGCTATATATACACACACACATTTGTAAATAGAAGAGAGGTGTGTGTAGCTATGAATGTGTAATACAAACCAAAGCTTTCAAGATGCCTGAAATTTGAAAACTAGAAGGGATATTAAAAGGAAAAGAGAACTCCAATCATCAACCCTTTCTGCCAAGTAAAATTTCATTTGCAGGTCACACAGCTTTCAGCTTCAGATTTGGTTTGTCTCCTCCCAGTCTTCAGTGCCACACGCAGCATCTCATGTCTGGAACAGCTGAAACACTTCAGCATGGAAGATCAAACACTTCAAAGAGTCTCAGAGTGGTTTTGGAAAGGGAAAACCCATTTGTTCTCCTAGTCAGGTAAGGTGACATACTGGAAGTGATGTGTGGTATGCACACTAAGCAAAAACTAACAAATGCAGGTAAAAAGAACAGAAATTTCAGGCAGGTTCTGACCCTTGATGACACAACTCAGCCAATGCTCTATGTTATAAATGTTTTACCTGGTGAGATGATAATTGCCCAAATGTCTGAAAATAGGTTTCATGCTTTCATGTGGGACTTTTAATATTTCACATATAGAGGAAAGATGATGAAATAACAATTTTAACTCTGTAATTAGCACTGCAATAATGTTGGCTGTTTAAATTAGTTAATAACATTAAAGAGGACCTCTAATTTAATGACAGAGACACAAACCCAGGTATTTCTAAATGAGAGTGACTTCCCATCAATTGTATTTAATATAATTTTGCCTTCATTCATTGTGTGGATAATGGCTACTGTAGAGTGTGGCTGTGTCTATGGAATTGTCCTGGATAACTTCAGAAGATACAGAAATACATGACAATTCACAAACTGGGGAGGAAATATAAATGAAAGCTTCTCCTTCTGCCCCTGCTAGTCCCTTAAAATCAATTTTAATATAATTTGAAAAGTTCTGATTTTGGTACAGTTGTTCCATTCAGTTTGGTGTCATTTCTGTTACTAAAATAGAGGTTCCTGGAGACCTTACATTAACTTCACAGACTACAGCTGACACTGAACAGAGGTCTAAGTTATACAGCAAACATAAAGGACCACCCATTTCCATGTATGATTAAATGCTGACTCAGGGTACTGCAGCATTTTCGATGGCCAAAGTTGAATAAAATTCAGGACAGGCAATAAGGAATCGCAGACAAATTAAAATTTATTGAGACAGACAAAAATGCAACTATTTCAGACTACAGTTAAGCATTTACAGTTAACCAAAGGTAGCAAAATGCTCACATTCCACTTAACTCCTTATGGAAAAAGCATTCAGAATTTACTATGCAGTTCTACTTACTATGATAGTCTACATCCATCTACAGTAGGGACATCGAACTGAAACACGTAATATTTGGATCTCTCCTTATAGATCTACACATTGAACAGTAACAGACATCAACAGCATTGAGAAAAGTATAAAAAGACCAAAACCCACCTACTGTAGAAAGGGCCTTTTGATGTGTAGTAACTGTACAAAGCAGTCTGTGGATGAAAGGAATCTGAATGGCCTACAAAGGGACTGCAAGGAAAGCCAACAAATGTCAGAAGCTAAGCTTGAGAGATCTGGTGGTCTGGATCAAGTGGTGACCTTAGATCTACGTCAGTTGCTGCTTGAGGGGGGGGAAAAAGGCTACAAAAACTTCTAATATCAAAATATTCCCATGCCAGAAATGTACACTGAGACTAACAGACTAGGCTGGAGAGGCAAAGAGAAGCATTCACTAACAAACAGTGTTGTTTTAAATATAAACTTTACATTTTTCGATATAAACTGTAGAATAAATATTAAATAAACACTTCAAATGGTTTAAAATAATAGTACAGAATAGCTTCAAAATAAAAAAGGGAAAGAAAAATGAAAAGGATTCTTTGTGTTCACAGAAAAGGTCAGTAATGACCCAAAAACCCCAACTGTGCTGAAATCTGAACACAACATTTTGATTTAACCACAGTAGTTAAAAGAAACACAAAGCAATACCTAACAGTATCTCGTAGTCTCTAATATGAAAAGAAAATGAGATTAAAAATTGGTTTGTGTCTCTAAAAGAATAGGACAACTCTGGTTCCATTTTTCACAATGAGAAAATATTAGGAAGGTCAATGACTTGATTCAGGTGGGAAGTCCTGTTTGGGGAAAAAAAAAAAGAAAAGAAAAAGAAGGAGAAAAATGAAGGAATTAAATTGGAAGCAAATCAAATCCTTTACAAATGAAAAATGGAAGGGGCTCGATCTGGAAGAGCATTGGTTCTTGGTAGAATTGCTGTTTTCCTTTTAAAGAAACAGAAGATTCTTTTCTTAACTCATCTTCCCAAACTGGACATAAACATACATATGCACACACATCTCTATGTGCATAAATGTATATATACAGACACATGTATATGTACATATGTATATAAAGAGAGTCTGCAGATCCTTCACCACTGGAGGATGCCAGTGGAACACAGAAGGGTTTTGCTAAATAGCTTTGCAATATTTGGGAACTTGATCTCAAAGCAATCCATAGCCTGGCTGCCCTGCTCCTGTGGAGGCTGGAACACCTGGGATTGGACTCTACTCCCCTGCAGTCATACCCAACTGAGCCAGGCAATAAAATGGCATATTTCCTATGCTGGCTGTGGTTCAGAAGAATATTTGCACAACTGAAGCAGGTGACTGAACAGTTGCCTGAATCCAGGCCAGCAGGCTTAGAACAAGTGTGTTTTTCTGGGTGCAGGGACTTGTGCTACCAGAGGCCAGTTGAGCCAGCCAAAGCATCTGTTCTCTTGCCAGGCTGTGCTGGGCACAGAGCCATTTGACTGGGACCCACCTCGTGTTTGAGCTGGTGAGTATGGGGGAGAGTAACTGGTTTACAGTTAAAGACACAAACCCTGCCAGCTCTCATTTGGAAGCATTGCAGGGTGAAAGCTCACAGCTAGGAGAATATCAATAGCATTGAGAAATGGATGGTGATGCCATGTCTGCTCATGTCAATTGAAGGACCTCCACATTCGCTTTTAAAGGTTTAATTAACACCTTTAATTTAGCTATCTTGCATGTTTGCATGGACAGAGGGCTGCAGCCTTGGACCTTGGTACTGCCTGCAAGGCCTTGGGTCAACAGGCTTTACCTTGGGGAGGTGTTAGGTAGAGAAGGGATTTGCTATGTGACCTTTGATGTAAGGCATAGTCCAGGAAAAGCTGCTGGGACTTTTGGGCTGCCCAAACCCCCATAATTGTATGTGGAAAATAAGTCCAGCTGGAAGGATAAGCATAACTCTACTGATTGTGGAAGTCAGTTCTATGCCAGAACGCAATGGTAATTCTATTTATGCCCCACAGGACAGCAGAGCCAGACCCAGAGACCCAAAAAAATACCAGGATGTCTGAGAAGCAACTTACTGATGGTGTTCAATTGCTTCTCACAAAATCACACTATTTAAGGAAACAGAAATGCTGGTTTATCTCTTCCTCTTGCAAGTCAGCAGGATTTCCTGTGAAAGGCAAGTAGAAAAAAGTGTGTATATGTGTGTGCTGTGCAGCTCATGGACAATGATTTTTAAATACAAAAGGGATTTGATGCAGGGTGGATTGCAGGCCATTTGCAAGTGACTGGGATGGCAGATTTTTGGGAGGATGCAGGGGCGTGAAACATCAAATTCCTCATGGTTTTACCCATCCTGCTGCATTAATAACAATTATGCAAGGCTTGCTCTTTGTTCTCAGCTCATTGATCTAGATAAATAGGAGATAAAAGAGGAGAAAACAACTGAGCCCCAGCAGCACATGGTTCCTGAAAGGAGTCCCTCTTCTGATCAGGTCTGGAAGCAGAGGTACCACCCAGAGGGGGAGAGGAGATGCACAGCCCTGCCAGGCTCTGCAGTGGGCACTGACTTTGGACAGGGCTGAGGCCCAAAGTCTTTGGGCCAGTGTACCTGGAAAGGACACTGTAAATATCTAAATGACAATATGTTGTGATACAAGAGCTTTGAATATATGGGATATGTCGAGGGAATGACAGATCAAATTTTAATACTCTTCTTTTTTAGAAATATTCCAAGTGTGCAGTGTGTCACACTGAGCAAAGAGGTTATGCTGTTGAAATATGGCCACCTAAAGTTTCTTTTTAAAACAGACCAAATAATTATTAACTATTTAAATTAAAGGAACACCAGGCTTGTTACTTTGAAGGTTAGTGTCGTGGAAAGCTTTATAACTTTGGAATGAGGAGCTGCTGAATGCAGAGCAGGCAGAGCCACAGTGTGTGAGCTGGAAGCAGGGCCTGGCTGTGTGAAGTTAGAGAGCCTCTTAGTGCAAATGAGTCCAGACAGAAGCTGAGGAACAGCTATGGAGGTGGTCATGAAGCTAGAAATTCACAAAACTCTCTTTCCTTAAACACTTTGAAAGGAGGATGGACTTTGTTCCCAGCCTGTAGAGTTTGGTCCATGATAGCTGCAGGTTCTCAGCATCTCTTAAGATCAAGGACATGTTTGTTTATCAAATAAACAGTGTCAGCAAGCTGATCTGTGCTCTGGTGGGAGCTTTGCCTTCAGTGTGAGATGGACTAAGCCTGTTGGACTCATTCTCAGAGAACTTAAGGAAAAGCAATTCCTGCCAGTGGGTTTCTTTCTGGATTAAACCCCTGGTGCTGGGCAGTCACCACCCAAAGAGACTCACTCTTAACTGGAACATTACAATTATGGACTAGAAAAGGAGGCACCTCCTTTTCCTTCTTCATGAAAGAAAAAACTGTTTCTGATACGACCCAGATAACAATTTATGACACAAATTCTCTAACATGAGAAGGGTTTCTAAGCCTTGTATTGGTTTGTTGTGCCCCTTCTGGGATTCTTCTTTCATAAGTGGTGCAAGTGAGGATTAAGACATGAAATGGTTTTGAAACAAAACTCATTGCCCCTGTGGATAGAACAAAAATCCCCCAAACCAACTGAACAAAAGCTGTATTCCAAACAGTCCTTGCTGGAAAAAAAAAAAAAAAAAAAAGTTGTCATCCAAATTAAATAGACTATACAAAATTAAACTCAGTAGAGAGGGAATATTTGTGCCAGGTACTCTCAAATACAATTGCAGAGATATGATGTGACTTGCAATATTGTGCAAAACGTGAGTCCTCGTTATGATGGGCACTACCATATATAACCAATTTCATCATCCTTATCATCATCTTCATCTTCATCATCTTCATTAGCTGCTCTTACATGAATCTTCAGTTTCCCTTCTTTGTCTTTTTTTGTTGCTTCAGGTTCCTCTTCCAAATCATCCAGCAATACAACAGATCCACCACTGCCAAAATCCCCTGAGGTTTCTTGCTCTTCTTCTGAAACAGGTAAGGAAGGAAAGGTCATTCCCTCACACCACACCAAATCCCTCATTCATCACTACCTTTCTCAGACAAGCTAGTGTCATTTGCAATGCTATTTTTTAAATTAATTGGTTCAGCTATTCATGAAACACCTTTTAATTTCCAATTTTCATTCTGAATTGAGCTAAATATAAATAAATTTACTCTGAAAAATTTACTTGCATAAAAAAACTCCTATGCATCTTCCTCCTCCTAGAGACATGACCAGAGAGTCCCAGTTCTTGTGCATTCAGATCAGAAAATCATTACTCCTTTGTAAAGACTTTAATTCCATTGTGACTCTGTAAACCAGGTTAAAAATATACCACAAATTGATTTTATTTGAGTGCATAAACCACACTCTGCAAATGTAGCTACTGAACCTAACATCATCTATGTGATTCTGAGCATCTTGGACCTCCCAGGTCTCTGTTCCTTATCAAAAAATAAGCTGCACCCACAACTATCACTGAAGCATTCTGAAGGAATGTAGGTGTAATCTTGCTTGTCTAGCTACAATAGCTAATCAGGGATTTTTTTCACTTACCTACATAATATTGCCCCATCAGCAATTTCTTTTTTTGCTAACATATACAATTTTACACATTTAGACCTTCCTTTGTCTGGAAGGACATTATTCATCAAGTCCCAGTAAATGTGTGTTCCAGACTACACAGAACAATATATTTCCTATATATTAAACACAGAACAATATATTTAATACAATATATTTCCTATCTATTAAACACAGAACAATATATTTAATAACCATGCAGAGCAATCCTAGACCCTTAATTTTAATATCAATAACTATGTTTTCCAGGCTGGTAGCAAACATGTCTTAAGAGAGGTTATTGCCTGCTAAATTCCACTGCAGTCCAAAGAACCAATACTGATAGAAGGGTCCCAGCAAAAATGTCTTAAGAGAGATTATTGCCTGCTAAATTCCACTGCAGTCCAAAGAACCAATACAGATAGAAGGGTCCCATTTGTAGTCTGACTAGGAAAATACAGGAGCACTTTGAACTCTGGTACTAATGTTTCCCTGTTGTCCCTGTAGTTATCATCCTCAGCTGTGCAGTAATGGCAGAGCTTACAAGAGTGTTAATTCCTTCCTTGTCTGAGGAAAGCACATCATTACTCACCACAGCTAACTGTCCCTTGCTTCCTGGAGCCAGCTATCTCATTCCCATACTTATCAACACACCAGCACTGTCCTGTGCTGCCATGGCACTGAGTGGCTTTGTAATAACCTTCTTCATTGCACCGTGGGATGAAAGCACCTGAATAAAATATAAGGTATGCTCAGTCACACAAACCTCTGCAGGAACAAACAGGGAGAGAGAGTATTATGAATTTATCACTTATTTACATGAAGATCTTTACAGTGCTGGTGAGAAAACACACGTGATTAGCTGGTGCCTAAGAGAGGGAAGAAATTGTATCTTGTTAACTCTTTTCAGACACACTGGTCACTGCACAGTGTGTGTTTGTGTATATACAACACACAGAGCAGAGTGGCACACAGTACTAGAGCTAGGTTCCATCTGTCCCTGAATGGTTAATATTCCCACAGAACCTTTTCAGATTTAACTCCTGGTTTGAAACTTTTCTTCTCAACTGGATTATTACCCCAAATTCATTAATTCTGCATTTCCCTTCCATTTGCACTCCTTCAGTGTTTATCATAAGAAGTCTTTCCACAACACTGTAATTAGCCCTGGAAGGTATTTTCCATCTGCTTGCTATTCATACTAATCTCAGGCACATCTTCTGATTTACTGTGAGTTCCCATCTATGAAAGGAGAAATAATACACAAGCTTTACAGAGAGGGACAACAGGATTGGAAGTCAGTAAGTCTTTGGATTTGAAGCCCAGAATTTTTCTCACAATAAACCCAATATAGTGCAGCCTTGTATGGTTCATTCTGCCTTCTGAAGAAGGGAAACTCTCAGGAGAAACCCATGCTATTGTTCCCACCATTTTCAGCAGATACAGCAAATGTACTTCAATATGAAAAGCCCTCTTGTCCTTCGAGATGAGTTAGCTTTATTCCCACAGGAGGTCAGAACATTCATTTTTCCCTTCTTTGTCAATTGCTTCAATTTGAAACATGGCAGAAACACACCCTTGCCCCCAAATTTCTTGTCTCAAATGATTTTGGAGAAAGCATTTTTCTCCTTTGTCAAAGATACCAGTGATTTACTGGTGACACAGTAAGTTTTTTAACTAGTTCCATGTGTAGCATCTATTCAGACAGTTCATGTGTCAAAGGGGCCACTTCCACTACATTTCTCCCAGGAAAAAAATGAATGAAAAGGTGCTGCCCAAATGTCACGAGATTTTCTATATAAAAGACATAAAAGTGGAAGTCAGTCAGTCTCATAAACACACAGAGCTCTATAAAGTGAATCTCTGAATGACCAAACTCATTGCTCTGCAGATCTTGTCTAATATTTGAGTGCTGCTAATGTAGGTCTGGAAGATGAGAACAGAAACCTTTGACCATCTGCAGAAATACTTGTATTTTGGATCAGTTTTGGAGGCCACTTCACACCCATTAGTAAGAGTGTTTTAAACAACTTCAGAGCTTGATCTTATAGCAGGTACCACCACTATGTTCACATACAAATGTAAGCATACTCAAGACTACCAAAGACTCATTCTCACTGCAAGAGAATAGTCCTAATAATCACACACATGTATTTGCCTTTGCAGGATTTTCACTGTTCAAACCTTTATTTCAATATTGATTAGGAAAGGTGTTTTTTTATATTGATGCTGTCTCTGACAAGCCCTCCAGGTGTTACTTGGACTGTACACAACCTTGGGAAATGTGCTCAGGTGTTGACTTTGAGCTGGGGTAAACAGCACAGCAGTGCCAACGTCACTGGAGATCCTGTGATTTCTGATGAGCATCTGACTTCAGGAAATGATCAAAGGGGCAACCTCAGTGGCATTACATGGTGAGTAGTGAATGGCTTTTGCATTTTAAACTGTCTCATGCTTTCTCTTTCACTTGGGCAATGCAACATGTCCCTCCTTTGGAACAGACCTTCTTGCATAGCTTCAGTGTTTCTTGTAAGCTATGAAAATGTTCCACATTGCCTTTAAAAGCCATAGATTTAAAAATAAATTATGGCCCAGGCTCACTGCCAACATAACTGTGTGGAATAGATTCACACTTTGGGTCACAGTGAAGAGTAGAAGGTACTTTTCCTTCTGCATGGCAAATTTGTGCCAATTTGTATGTAACACAGGAGCTTTAAATATTTAGCTATGCATACTAATGGCACAGTATTTGCCAACTATCAGAGGGAAGATACAGTGTCTCCTCTCCAACATGTCAGGTGTAGGTGATAATTTGGAGAAGATAGAGAGTCACTGGGAGCAAGTGTTGTACAACATGATGCTTTGTCCTAGAAATTGTAGATAAATCAGCCTGTGTTCATTAGAAATAAGCTGACCACAAGTTCTGCTATTCTGGAGTATGACACCCAGACAGATCTTTTTTTTTTTGGGAGAATATTTCACCCCATAATTTCTTTTGGCATCAGAGAACATCTGCAGACTTTGGAAGGAGAAAGGAACTTTCCTTTCCCTAGGTTCTTGCACAGATGTTGCTTTCCCACGGTGTGGAGAGAGACTCTGGACTACCTGTACTCCTAAGCACTAACATTAGTCCCTCCCCACCAACCTGCCTCAGGCTAGTAAATCCTGCCTCTCCCCTCCCTCTTTATCCTATGAGATATTTAATTATTCTACACACACTTGAACAGCACTGTTGCATCTGTATCCTCTTTATGGGCCCAGACCTATATCTCCTTTTTTTCCCCCCATTGTTTCCTTATCTACATAATACTCCCCTTCCTCAGAGAACATGGGGAGAATAATCATATGCTAAAGATAGTGAAGCACACAGGTAAAAGCCTGACAGAGTTAAGTGCTAGCCAGCACACAGCTTCTTATATTTGCTATTATATTAGCTGAATCCACAGGGCTGATACAGGAGAAAACAGTGATGGGAGCAGAAATTTATTACCTTAGTGATGTGGGAGAGGCATTATCAGGCTGCACAGTTGTATGCTCTAAAAGTACAGTCTCTGCAGTTAATTGTACTCTAGATAAATCTGCTAGGAAAAGATGAATAGTGCTGTTTACTTTTTAATTCAGTCCCCTGGGATGCTAGACTCTATTTGAAAGCCTCCAAATTCAACATCTCTAATGGCAATTGCTTTGAAGTACTTTGTTGTAACTGTCATGTGTTTTGAGAAGTATATAGAGAACAAAATATCAAAAGTTATCACTTTTATCAATGGATACAAGTTCACAGAAACCTTCTTCATGCTACTGCCCAGACTGTTAAGTGCTGTGCTCTCTATGTCAGGGTCAGAGGAGGAAAGAGAATAATTAAAGATTAGTTTCTCTGAAAATATTCATCTCCCTTTTCCATCTTTACTGCTGCTATGAGTCACGTGTATGTTTTCGTTTCCATCTGCATGATTTTTCAGTCAGTGAAGAGAAAAGACAATGTTTTCCACTGTATAAATAGCTCTGATATCAGATTAAAATCTCCCAGACAGGTGTCATTATGCAGACAGACTTTCAAGGTAGGTGAAGCAAAGACTTCCTCTCTATATTATAATTTTCTAGCATGTGGAACAACCTATGCCTGACACCTTGATTTGTTGAGCCTTAGCCACTTTCATTCTTTTTTTTCTTTTTAATACAGTTGACTAGAAGTTATTTGTGCTAAGGGACCATTCTTACTGCTTTTACTTTGTCATTTTACTCCTGCTATTGTGATCAGATCCCAGTGACAAGTGCTACAACTACCTTCATGTTGTAGTACCTGCAGCACAGGCATCATTCTTCCCACACACCAGAGCAAACCACTTATGTTTCAACCTAGATGACATTTATTGCACATAGCAAATAACAGCAAAGCATAAAATAAATATGGGATAGTCAAAGCTATCTATTAAGAACTGGGCTTCTTATTCTTTTCAGTGGTTTTGAAAATCATAACACCCATGAGACAGAGAACACCGTGACTTCCTCTGCCACAACATCCACTCGAACACAAATGCAAAATATTTACTGAATGGAGAACACATACCATGAGTGATCAATCCTCCCTTGGCTCCCACAGCTAGGAACAGCAGGAGCTGTAACTCTGAAACATCTTAATCTTTATGTGAACTTGCTGTGAAAGGATGATGGATCTAAACCACAGTTGCTGTGGCATTTGGGAGTGTTTATTCTTCATTTAAGCCAAAGAATCCAGGTTGGGACCTGGACATTGAGTCCTAATGGCAGTGGTATCTGGGAATGGCAGGATTTGGCAAAGATGAGCTTTGCAGAAGCTCTGTTTAAAGGGTCTGCTACTGAGTATCTAGAAACATCAGACTAAAGTCTGAGCACCACCTGAGCAGCATTGCAGCAGAGCTGGTGATGCCCTGAGAACCTGACACATATCCTTGATGCTGGGCCTGGCAGCCTGGGCCTGAGCTCAGCCAGACTCCTCCAGGGTGAAATGCAGAGCTTGCTGTAAAAAGGGACTTTAATCTGTCCAGGGATACCCTGGTGATTTGGCTGTATGTACAGAAATGTGCTAAGACAGAAGTTTCAATAAGATACCAGCACATAAAAGCCAGGCTACATACCACTGGGTGATTTAAGGGTAGGGAATTAGTCACCTTAAATTTACTAAGTTCAACAACCTGATTTTTTAGTAATTAAATGGGAAAATGCCAGCTGGGGATTTATTGAATCTAGTTGTAGATAACAGAGTGGTGTAAGTTATGAATCAATTCAGATCCCAATAGGCACTAGAGAGAGGGACAGGCATGATCCCATCTTACAGCATGAAGCATCCTGCAGGGCTGCCTCAAATGAGATGATAGAAACTCCTGTTTTCATATAGACAAAATACACTGAAATATTTGTAAGGGTGATTAGGCAAAACTGAACCTGCCTGCATTGCACCATAACTGGAAGGAGACAGAAACTCATTGGCTATGCACCTTCAGTCACCCTTCAAAAATGGGAGGCTGGAGTATCAGCAGCCTCCGTACCTACTCTGACCTATGAGGTGATGAAGGCAAAATTAAGCTCTGTGCAGACAAGACTTTGCATTTCTGGAGAGCTGTAAATTAGTTCTGAACCCGTTGCCATGCTGACACCTGTTCTGTGTGTTGCTATCTCATTATTTGTTTAATTTCATAGTGTCAGGCCTACACTCCGTGCTGCATATTCCCGACTCAAAACATTAGTCTCTAATTGAAAAACCATTACTGCATATAAAGTTACAATAATCACAGAAGCTTTAATTAGTTGAGTAAATGAATAGCAAGTAATCGAACTTACCCAACAGACTCTTCCCTCTACTTAGCTTTTGAATTCTATTCATTTCATTCTGGCAAGGAAGACCTAAAATATAATGTGCAAGAATCAGTTTCCAGATGGTACAGGACAGACTCTGTAATGACTGGCTTCACTGCTGACATGAAATGTAGACTGCTGTACACCTGGGAATGAGAGCAGCCCATATGCTGGTACTGTACCACAAAACAAATTTATGTCATTAACTTCACTAATTAAAAAAAAAAAGAAAAAAAAAGGCTACACTCGGTAGTTGAGACTAGTATTTGGGGGCCATGTTCATTGTTAAACCATTCTAGCTCTCTTTTCACCAAACTGACATCATGTCAGCTCTGTGATTTATGACTTGTTAATTGACTAATTTTTTTCATTAATAAAACAGTAAGTTCTCAAGACTTGGATCAGCAACAGAGCTTATTTCCAGATTGTGTTCACTGGCACTTACTACTTCGTTTATTTTAATGATATTAATATAGTTCATCTGTGACATTAAACATGGTTCTGCAATGCCCTTTCACACCAGTGCTGGGGAGAAAAGCTTTTTAATGCATCTGTCTGCCAGTTAGCAATCTCTATGAACAGGCCAATCAAACCTGAAACACAGGGATAGTCAAACAACTCCTCTTTGTGCTGTAAATTGCAGAACTCACCTCCTGGCTTCTGGAAGCAATAGCACCACTCGTTGTTGGAAAGCTTCCCATCTTTGAAGGAGTCACAGGAGTTGAAGAGTGGCTTGACACATGGCTCGTACTTATCCAGATAGATGGCACTGATCTCTGAGGGATCCAGCAGCAGGTCATAGTTCATGTCAAGTTTGTTGAACATCCAGCCTAAGGAGTCCTTACAGATTGGTAGTATGCTGGTGTCAAATCCTGTAAGAAGATAGGCAAATATTCCCCAGCTGAACCCCAGCATGCCCATGGCACAGGAATCAGTGCTAAGGTGAAGCCTTGTTACTGGCTGGAATCTGAACATCAAGCTGACTTGCCCAAAGCAGAACAAAATTCTAAGAAAGACAGAACTGATTGTGGTAAAGCTTAAAAACCAAGCATAGTTACAACCTAGAGCACTACTCACACTCTGAAGGAGCTGTGGGGTGGAGAGGGCTGTGATTCAGAGCTGATTTCTGTAATTCATAGTTATATCTACTTAAAAAATTCATGCTCATCTTTTTTCCCATCCTCAGTGCAAGTGGCTTGGCCTTGTTCCAGGACACTGAAATGTGATGAGAAATGACTGCATCCACCATATTTTCAAACTAGGCTGAGTCTGAATGCAATTTAAATCCTGTTTTCCAGACTTGTTTCTAGTTGCCTGATCAAACTCTTTCCTGCTGTGCTCTCACCTTCCACCTCACATCCTAGCTTTTCCCTCTTCAAAGCCCTGTCTCCTGTGGTAGACAACAAAATGCTTTGATGTGGACTGTCTGGGGGAGGCAGGGGGAGAGAATGGACTGAGCATCTCTGTTTCTTACACCACTCTGAGGACTGGCACTGCTTCAGCTGGAGCTCCACACAGTCTCTCGTGTGCTGTACCAGCACTGCTCCTTCCTGCAGCCTCCAGGATTGTGCAGCAATACAGGATTCTGCTCTTCCAGTGCTTTGGAAACCATCATCATCATTCATTTTAATAGCACAAATTCTTCAAAGACTGCAGCAGCACCAGCAGTGGTTATCACAGAAAGCCCAAGTCATGCATATAGATGCCCAGAAGTATATACATGTCCCAGTATTCTGCAGTCTCCACAAAAACAGAGGCATTACCTTCTTTCACACATGAGAAGGGTGTAATAAATCCATACTGTCCTGATATTTTTGCAATGCTTGGACTAAATTCCAAGTTATCTATGAGGTAAGGAAGTGTATTTATGATACAGAAATAACAAATCTGATAATATGGATATCGGTTTCAACCAGGACTAAGGAACATGAATACATTGGCTGAGGATCTGCAGGGACAGAGGGTTCCTGACACCCCTGGCACCTCACACTGTTCTAGCTGTGAGCAGTCACCTGCCTGTGCTCTGCTTCTTCTGCTTTGGGCCACATGGAGAAGCCTGATGAGCTTTTTCCTTTTGCAGCATCTTTCATTGAAAGAGGTCAAGCTTAGCTTTCTTTGCTGTACATGTCAAGTTCTTTTTCAGTATGCTGCTTTGTTAAAGTGAACCTAAGTTGTTGCTGGAATCACGCTGACAGTTTGTCCAAGCTCTGCAGCCTACCTGCTATTTTAAGCATTAATCCAAAGGAGAGCAGAGCTTTGTGCTGTGCTTTTCGTATGCAACTGCAGCTGAAGGTTGTCAGTGACACGGAGGGACAATCACAAGGGTTAACTAATGGGAAGGTTTGTGTCATTCATAATACATGTTTCTCTAAGGAGGGAAGAAGGTAAGGCCATTTCCTCAGGGCTAGAGGCAGCTCAGAGAAATCATGCTGAACATTTCATCACATTTTTGTGCTGTTATCTCCTCGAACATTATCTAATCGTGTCTGAGCACAGTGAAAAAGAAAAAAAGGCCATGTGAATAGATGGAGGGAGGAAACCTGCTTGCCTTGCCGAAGCAATTAGGAATATTGACTTCAATTATTTCAGTCACCTGAAGAAGGCAAGCAGGATTTGATCACTGTGCAGTCTTTTGTTGAATGAAAGGATTTAAGAATCCTTGCCTTTGCCTTTCCAAAGCAACAGGAGCAGGGCACACAGTCCTGCCTTGTGCAGTGTATGCTGTGCCAAATTCCTCACCACGGGGCAGGTTAAAAGTAGTCAAATAGGCAGGGGTGGATCATTCAGCAGCATGGTAGAGCTGGGATCAGTACATGCTTCAGCTATCCCAGTTTAACAGTTTTCAGGAGAAAAAGAGCTAGGTTCTGTTTTCTGCTCTTTTTTTTCTTTTTTTTTTTTTTTTTGCACAGATGCCCTCTCTGCTGATGGACTTTACACCCTGCTGTGGCACTTACTGCTGCAAAGATGAGGAACTACAAGGTCTGTTGTACAATCAGTTGAGTATGGTATGTGTTGTTCAGCCCCAGTGGGTCTCTAAAGGTCATCTCTTAACTGGCAAGGATCAACACAGGAAGGAGGAGATTCTGGCATGAACCTGCCCCTGACAGTGCCTGTAGGTTATTTCTGAGTCGTGTTTACCTCCCTGCTGGGTAGTCTCTACCCATGTGTACACAACTGGGATACAACACCAGTGTGCCCTCAGCACTGATCTGTCAGAGCATATCACAAGATGTGAGTACAAAGGTGCTCTGTGACATACCACCAGGGTTTGGATGTGAGACACAATTATGAAAGGTCACTCATGAAGAGAGTTAACTGCATTAGTTGAAGAGATTTTGATTGTAATGTCTTATAAACAAGGGAGCTTTCACTGGTGTGACCAGAGTCCCAGATTAGGTTTATTAAGAGGTTGCATTATTAAACTGTACTGGAAGTCTTTAAATATTGAAGTGGTAGATATGACAAAGTCCTTAGCTAGATGGTTATCACCACTGGAAAGGTTAATTCTTTAACCTTTCCACATAGTTGACCACATAGTTTAACCAACATGCATGTAGTTGACCACATAGTTTAACCAACATGTAGTTGAAGGTGAATAGTAATATCTAACTCCACATTGTCTCCTGATAAAAGGTACTGACTATAAATCACCTTTTAACAACATTGCATCTGCAGCTCAAATCCAACAATCCTGGATGCTCTCAGCACCCAGCAAAAGGAAGGAAAGCCAAGAGTGCCTGAGTGTGCAATGCAGACTCTGACTTGCATAACCAGGGGCAGCTGATGGAAAATGGTTTTCAGAGCTCACCTTCACTGGGAGGTCACTGTGCTGCCATCAACGTGGTGAGACCAAGTGATGTTGAATGAATTAACTCCTTTGTAGAGTCTTTTGATGTAATTTGCTGGATGAAACAAACCACATACTGTAATTCTGTCATCTTTTCAGTGCTTGGTTAATAGGCTGAGTTTCCAGTACAACAGACCCAGAATAACCTTAGTGAGAACTTTTCCCTGTCTTTCTGTACATCAGCTCAGCACTGCAGTGCCTTTGGTGGAAGCAGGGGAGCAGTGCAGGCTCTGTATCCCTCCTACTCTTGGCTCCTCAGCAGAGGCTGCCAACACAGATGCCAATTGATGTCAGTTTGGGTGGTGGTTGCTCTCATTTGGACACCTGCTCACAAGGACCTGGACTGAGACCATCATGTTTCTCATCCTGACCGACAGCTGTTCAGCATCCTAACAACTTTCATTCACTACAGAGCTGGAAGGAAATCAAACTGGTGACCTACATGTAAAAGTCTCACATCCCATTAATACATAAAATGCTCCACCTCCTCTGAATTAAAATGGAATTAAATTTAAAAAAGTATTTAAGTGAAAATCCTAATTAAAAATAAACACACCTTCTGGTGTGTAAAAATGATTTTCCCTTTTCAAGAGTTGATTTATACGAGCCAGTTTTATTTTACTAAAGTATACTACAATTAAATTAACAGGGGCATAATTAACCTAATTTCCCCCATCGCTCAAAATAAAGGAAGGTGGAGAAGAAATGTTCCCCTGAAAAAAATCCTTTATATTCCATAGATCTCTAGTAAAAGACAAACAACTCCCACTACAACCAAAGAGACTATCTAGATACAATACAGGGATGTTATGAATTATCAGCAGGCTCAGGAGCAATTTGGATCTGATCTTGCTACCTAATTAGTTTTATTATTTCCTTCTGTCAAAGCATGTCCCCAAGTTTCTTATATAATTTATTGAGGAGATTTTAATTGTACAAAGCCTGCAGAAGACAAGGTTTCTGGCCCTTGGTGCTTTGCTGGGATCAGAGAGCTCATTGAATGCAGGTTTGAGATTTAAACACAATGATTTCCCTCATCCTTTGCCTTTCAACCGAGTTAAAAAGAAGACAAAAAGGAGTGTACTTTTTCCTTTACCTGCGGGTGAACTTAATCTATTCAAAATGTTTATTTACACTCAACACTAGCATCTTGAAAATTTAATGTAGCATAGAGAAGTCTCTGCTGGAACACCTTCTCTAGACAGCTGATGTGTCCGAGGCATCGTAGTCATCACATCCCACCACCTGTTCCTTTACTGCCACAGGGGCACATTCAACTGGGTTACTTTGAGGTTGTTCATGCCTTTTAAGACTCTACAGGCATAACCAAACCAGTTCGAGTTTAATGAAGTGATCCATCTGGTGAGGAGGGCAACACATGCAGAGCAATCAAAAAAGGGCAATGTGTACATCAGAACACATTCCCAGAGCTGTGTGTGTCCTGTTTGCCAGGATTCACACAAAGTCTTTGCTATGCCTTGCATATGTGAACTTTGCTTTGAATTCTCAGCCCTGTTTAAGATGCCTTTCATTTTTACAAACGTTTGAAGTTGGAGGGAGCCAAATACTGCCATCCTTACTTTGTGAGTATTTTCAGAGCTACCAGAGAGAACTGGAGCTGCAGAATTTGGCACATACAAACTACTTCATGAATACTGTTGCAAACCCTTGAAAATTCAAACAAGCCCAAGTGTTGTGGCATTCAGAAATGATTTAAGCATCTAAACTCCTAAGGTTTGTGGTGGTTTGGGTTTTTTTTAAAACTGATATATAAGAAAATGTGCCAAACTAAGTTGACAGTCTAAAAATGAACATTGTTGAGATCAAGTGTTTAAGATCATCAAGGCAGCCTTTCATATAAAAGCTGCCAGGAATCAAACTCAACTAAAAAGAGATAACAACTCCTCTGTGAATCAGAGCAAACACTGCAGAACTACCAGGAATGTTTTTCTCACTGAAATTGCTTCAGAAAAAAATCCCAACACCTCAATACCTTTAGGGCTGTGTTTGGTCTTTGGCCTCTGGTAAGGTCCTCATGAGGACCTCACAGGTCATCAGCATTAAAACCATCCTTTTGACAATCTGATTTCATGTGATTCTGGGCCTAAAGGACTTCAAACAAAGTTTAAAGTCTCTAAGGCTTTCTGACATGGGGTCTGAAATGAATTCCCATCTGGAAGTCATGATTAGCTGTACATCCAGTTGCTTTTTGCACTATGGTTTGGCTCCCTCTGCGTGAGAATATCCTTTCTGGTCTCCTGTTTCAGAAATAAGTAGGACGTGTGGTTTGAAAGATCCTGACTTCGTTGTAAATACGATGGAAAACAAGGGTCACATGAAAAAGATAATTTACACAGAATGTGGTTTGTTTCATCACAGAGTTTTAAGATATTTTTGCCTGGCATTAATGAGTTTGACTACAGTTTTGAGCAATACAGCCTGTGGTATATTCAGTCTCTTTAGGAAGGGGCTAATTGCTACCCCAGCTCGGAAGCAGCACAAAGAGGAGAGCTGAGAAGACATGGACCAACAGTAAATGCCAGTTCAGATGTGCTAAGTCTGCTCTACTGCCCCTTTAGCCTCTGCAGACTCACACTACAGGGACACTAAGCATCAGGGTGAAAAGAGCCACAAAAGGGAGCAGCTTTGAACTCTGTGTGTGCAGCCTCTGCCTTTAGGACAGCTTATACCAGAGAATCAGGGCACTGAAGAGAAGGTGAGCTCCACACCCAGATAAAAGTTGTGTATCCTACTTTTCAGCCCAAGGGCCCATGTGTTTTGGGACATACTATTTAAAAGAATTAATGAGTCCTTACAGAAAATAAATTCGCATCTGCTCTCTGATGAACATGACCTCTTTTGATGGTGTTATTTGAATCTTTCCCCTCCCTGGTGGGTAAATGACATCAAAATCAGTCATGTTGGCTTCACCCACAGAGAGTAAATGTCCTCTAAACTGTTCATTTTCTTCCTTTCTTAAAAAAAAAAAATCATCAAAGGAAGCAAGGATGTTGTTATTAAATACCTAGGACACAATAGATTCCAGCTTTCCATACCATTTAACTCTTCCAGCTCCATGACTGAGGTGTGTATGTTGTTAGCAGGAAATTGCAAAATAAAATCTAAGTGAGGTTTTTCCAATATTGGAGAATTTTCCCTATGCTTGTATGTCATGTTTTTGGTTCATGTCACAGCCATCGGGTCAGAAAATGCTTGGCCATAAAACTGGTGGGTAAGCATACACCATAGTCCAACCCCAAGAACTGATTTGGATGCAGGCACATTGACATGGTGGGTGATGGAATTTAACTGTAGAGAGACAAACTATGCCATGTTAGTTAACCTCAGGACTTAAGAAAAGTCCCTGAGCAGTTTCATTTACTAGTAAAGAGGTGCCCTCCATGGCCTTCAGGTGCTGTTATTTGCCTGATTAACTTTTGAAGGTCTCTCTGTCTCTAACTGCCAGTTTTGAGAGCAATTTGGGCCAGAGACAGTACAGAAAGATTTCAGCTCCTTTGGAAAATGGTTGGAAAATTTATTTGCAGGATCAGGTCTCCTGTGTACATTCTTACTTACTGGCTTGATATGCCAGTGTAGCTCTAAGAGGTGTACTCAATGAATGCTGTCTCAGGCTGAGAAGCTGCCTACAACACCCAATGTTCAAAGGAAAAGAGGTTTTCTTACTGCCTTGTGCTGTCTCTGAGCTTGTGGGTTTGATGACACGATTTGCATCCTCATGAAGAGCACCAAACCAGTCTTTTAGTCGTGAAGCCAGATTCCTCAGCTCTTTGTCTGTGCAACCTAGAAAAAGAACAAAGCACCAGAATGAGTCAGGAGCACCAGGGAAATAAAACCTTCCCAAGAGAGTCTATTAGGAAAATAGTGTTGATGGTTGTAAAGTTCTTCTCATTAAGAGCTCTGAAGTAAAAGAGAAGTTTAGGGAAAAGGAGGCAAGTTTAAAAGAAAACGTAAGTTATTATGACTCAAGTACTTCCTTGGATTTGTGATGGAAGAAGTGCCAAGCAGAGCTACCCTCCAGTTCACAAGTAGAGCTGTGTGACTATTTAACTTAAATATTTTCACCTTTTAGGATTTCAGAGAAAAATATCAGTCAAACAGATGGGGAGGAGGGACATACATGCCTAGATATGCTACTCGAACAAGATGCTAGGAATAATTTATAACCACATTTGGCTTAGTATAAAGCTATTATTGCAGTAATAGGAAATATATCTACAGAAAAAATTGTTATGTTCGTCTAGTTCTACTGGAAGTGAGAACCTGCCACCTCTGAAGGTTGTCAATTCCATTTTGTTAGCTAGGTAAAACATTTATTTTCTTATAAATTTTTACTGAGAAATATCTCATTTTCCCAGAAATTTCTGCCAAGAGATTAACATCCAGGTGAAGCAAATACTTTTAAGGAAGAAAGCTGCATTAGTTACCAGTTTCTGTCAGAAAAAATATTCCTGTTTCTGTATCATGTTTAGTGCTTAAAATTCACATGCTCAGGCAATTTTATTATTC